ACTTTTTTTTCGGTAATTGTAACGGTAACGGCGTTACAAATTTTTTTTGTAACGAAAAAAGTAACTTTGTTACATTTTTTGGTAACGAGTAACAAATTTAACAGTTATTTTTATTGTTACATTTCTCAAATTTATTCTATATATCTACGAATTTATAGAAAAACTAACAATAAGAAAACTTTTTAATTTATATTTACAGCATTTAAAATTTTAGAAAGCTGGTTTACAACTTATTTTAAAATTTTCTTATTTAAAATATCTTATTATCAAAATTATTACTTTTATTATATAGTATTAAAATTATTACACTTTTATATCAATTAGCGATATCATGTATTAAATTATATCATTTTTGTTACTTTAATGAAAAATAATGTTCAAAAATTTTTAATGTTTACTGTAAATTTGTAGTGTTTAATCTTGTATTAGAAAAATTGTGCATAAAATTTGTATTATACATAAAAAAGTAACGGAAATTGTAACAATTCGTTACTTTTTGAGTGACGGCAACGGTAACGAGTTCCTTTTTAAAATTGGTAACGAGTAACGATAACGAGTTACTTTTTAGAAAAAAGAACGGTAACGGTAACGAGTTACTTTTATAAAGTAACTTTCCCAACCTTGGTTACATGTATATACATGGAATGTACACGAGGTATATTCTATGTATATACAGGCAGCGATCTCGTTCGAATATACATTCTATGTATATCTATAAGATATCTTATGTATATCCACAAATGTATCCACATCAGCGTATATCATATGTATGTACATAGTATATACAGTACATTTTTTTCACATTATGGATATTTCATGTATATATAATACATAAGATATCAAATGTTTACTGGGTAGTTATTCAGAGTTGTGACTTTGGAAAATATGGACATACAGAACAAGATCATCTGAGCCGCACCTCCCCTATAATATATAATTACCGATTTTCTATATATAATTATAACAGTACTGTAATATAACATATTATATAATTAATAATAAGTAGAAAATTGTAACTAACTGATAACTTGCATGTAACATAATCGTAATACTATTTGTTGCATTCAGTTATATTGCAGCATTGTAACATCAATATAACTATGTTTACTGAGGGGTTAGTTGTAAATAGAAAAGAAAAGAGTTTTTCTAATCTTGTATACTTCTATATCTTATTATTAATTTTTTATATTTTGTCTGTTTACAGTTTACAGTTAATTAAATAAACATGTATTTCTTGATTTTGCGTTTAATGTATTAGCAAAGTAATTTTACGCCATTGCTTTATACATAAATTGTTTATAATTGTGCGAATATTGATAGGGGAGGATGGGGTAAAACGAACCACTAAATCAAGAATAATCATATTTTTTTTTAATAACAAAAAATAGCTAAAACTTAACATAAGAAAACTTAAGAATGTTTATTATATGATTATAATGTTAAATTTTCAAAACTTGCAAATGTTTAATTATTATTAAAATTTTTGTAAAACTTATAATTTTAGTCCGAAGGTGGAGTAAAATGGACTATTCCGTGGCGTAAAATGGACTATATAAACTGGGGTAATAAAAAAATCGTTTTTCCATATTTAAGATATAATTTACTAATTCTTTTTATTGCTTATTTAAAAAACAAACTTTCTACTGCCTAATTTTGGTGTGAGATTTACTTCTGGCTGGGTTTTTAAAAAGCTTTAAATCTGTGATAAAGAGTTGTAGCGTAAGCAGAGAATCTTTTCGCAGCTTCTTTTTTATGTTTCTTTCTATCCGTATCAATTTTCCTCATTTTATTTACATTGATTCGATTTTTTAAAATAATTTTTAGGTATCTTTAGCAACTAGAAAGATGTTGAAAAAACAAGAAATTTTTAAAAAGGAAAAAAGATGTTCTAATTTTGCTTTATAAAGATAAAAAGTAACAGATTGGTGTAATAAAATGGAATCGTTTTTTTCCTTTTTAGTAATTATATATCCACGGTGATTATTTTCTTATTGTTAATTACTCAAAATGCAATACTAAGAAATTAGATCACGACATCTTGCTTGCAAAATTTGATATTTCTTTATAAATAACTCACAATAGTCTTATGGTATAATTATGTAACTTTTTAACAGTTGAAAAGCATTAAAAAGGAACCTAATTTTATACTCATCCAGCAAATGAGATACTTACTAACAAGAGCTAACAAATGGACCATTTTATTCCGCGGTCCGATTTACTCAATTTTTCCCTATACAAGATGTCCCTAAAATTTTGACAAAGCGCTTGTGTGCAGATAGAACGGACTAAACTGAATCGAAGAGTCCTGTATTTTGCAATTTTCGCAACAATTAACGAGTTATTAATTACTAAAGATCGCCGAATAAGCGCATATCCGCCCAGCCTACCGCCGAATGCAAGCGCGCGGCGAGATACAACCGTCCAGCGATCATGGTCGCTAGGCGTGCGATAAGTTATTTACTACAAGCGGCAAAGCCCGCTCTGATATATGATGGTCTCCCGTTTTTTTATTGTATCTAACAAGTAACACTACCCAAATGTAAATCACCGATTTTGATAATTTTTGAATATGTTGTAGTAGACGTAAAAATAAGACATACGTATTTTTTTTTATCGGCGGAAAACCATATTTACACCCCTTTACACCCCTTTAAATTTATGGGTATCGATTTAATTGTTTTGTATATAAGGATTTAGTATTTTTGGCCCGAACCAAATAAAATAGTTGCATCATCAAGAGATATGAAAAATGGAAAATTTTCGACTCGGTTCGATCATTTTTAGGGGGTAAACCACCCCCTGTATTTGAAACAAAAATTTTAAAAATGCCCAGATAATTGCAAATTTTATTCAAAAATTTTGAAAAAAATATATGTTACACTCGCATCCAAAACAAAAGTGAGACTGTTTGAGGATTTAAGGGTGACCACCCTTTTATCGAATTTCTTACGTAACATTTAAATTTATTCCGAAATAATGGTAAACAGTTTCATTTATCGTCAAATTAATTAATATTTACAAATTATAGTCTGATCAACCCTTCAATTCTATAAGGGGTGAGGAAAAACCTACCCTTAATAAGAGTAAGAAACCAGGATCGCGGCTCTTAGCATTACCCAGGATCACGACGGGGACGTGGCCGCGTGGATCCCATTTTATTTTATTTTTTTGGTTTTTTTGGTTTTTTGTTTTTTTTATTTGTTTATTGTTTTGTAATTTTTTTGTGTTTTTATTTGTATGTTGTTTTTTAATTTTTATATTTGCATTTTAACAATTAAAAAAAATTAAATTAATTAAACGTTACATTATAACTAACTTTAGTAATATGAATTAATGGCTATTCTTTATAGTCTTTACAATAATGAGGGACGCTTTGATTGCTGGGATCAAAAAAATGAGTAAAACATATATAATGTGTACACCAAGCGCACCTAATTAAAGCATTATCTTCACAATACTTGCAAGATGTATCACAATTTTCAAAACAGTATCGGACAGGAGTCTTGCATTTAGGTGGTTTTTCTTGAATATACCCACTTTTATACCATGCATATTTAAACATGTTTACAAACCTGGCTGAAGAAAACTGATTATGAATCAGCGACTGAAGTTTTAATACATTGTTTCTTGCATGTAAATTGACATCAAAGCCATACAAAATTACCAGATCTGAAAAATGTTTTAAAAAATTTTTCCATGGTCTGAATCCATAAACATCTAGGGGTTGAATCATACCAGTTGTCCCAGCAGGAATTGTAAAAATATTGACATCTTTGCCTTCTAGACAAACGTTGTCAAAATTTTTCTTTGTTTGTCCTGTCCACGAATCTAAACATAAAACCGATTGTTTATCAACCACAGATAAGTAAATATCTTTGTACCATTGAACTGCCAGGTCAGATGATAATTTCCCAGATTTTGAAGGTACTACGACAATATTTTCTGCTTTATATATGTTCATTTCAACAACAGGTCCAAACTGCCCACCCGTTTCTTGTAAAACAATAAATAAAGGCGACTTGAGTAATCCACTAGCTGATACAATCGGTTGTATGGTATAGCTATGTGTTAATGAATTCTTCGATTGTGTTAAACATTCAACTTGTGCTGTTCCTTTGAAAGATAATGTTCGTCCTGCATGTGATTCATAATTAAAACCAGACTGATCTGAATTATAAACATTGTCAGCTCCTAATAATGAGATTTGCTCCCTAATTTTGGATACAAATTGATTTGCTTCTTGTACTAAATCATCTTTCTTTGATAAGAGCGTTTGGGTAGTGAATTTATTAATTTTTCTGGATACGATTCCGTGTTTTATTTTAAAATTGTGAATCCACTTTGATGAAGCCGAGAAACTTTCTTCTTTGAAATATGAATGCCTCCGTCGCCAGGCGAGCGCTCCTCACTCCTTAGCTCGCGGCTTTTGTTTACATGAGATGCTCCGGGGCCCATTTCTCACATTCACATTCACATCCTGCAGTCCATATTTCAAAGAAGAAAGTTTCTCGGACAATCGCGTTGATCGTTAAGGGTTTCAACGGTGTTCTAATCTCGATTAAATTAATTTAAAAATCAGTAAACACCTTAAGCTCACCAATTACGTATTTTTATACCGAATACGTATACAAAAAAATGACGATGAATGTAAGAAACATTTTAAAATTGTTACAAGAAGCTTTTAATTATCCACAATATAATATTGATTCAGCTATTAATGATGATGAGAGAGCTTTTGCGTCACAATTGGAGAATATAATTAAAGACTCCATTGATTTTGCCTTGATATTTGAAAGTTATACTACTTTATGTTACGAAGATAATACTGCGCTTCCTGAAATCCATGCAATTGAAGAAGATTTCCAAGATGATTATAACGCTATTATTAATGAATAATAAAAAAGTTAAAAACATGATAGATTTCGAATATAAAGAAAAAGCTGTTCAATATTGGCATTCTGGTACAAAAAAAAATTTAAAATTTGAATGTGTACAAAGTAAATTTAAAAAAGTTCAAAATATTACAATGTTATATAGATGGGAAAAGCAAGTAAAAGAAGGTGGCACAAGAAACGAGAAATTATTGGAAATTAGCAAATATGTCATGAAACAGTTTCAAAATGCACATTTGAAGTCAATACCAATTCATGATATTGATATTAAAAGATGGGCTTTAAATGCAAGAAATGAAGTACAACTACCTCGAGAATTTTTCACGGCTTCATCAAAGTGGATTCACAATTTTAAAATAAAACACGGAATCGTATCCAGAAAAATTAATAAATTCACTACCCAAACGCTCTTATCAAAGAAAGATGATTTAGTACAAGAAGCAAATCAATTTGTATCCAAAATTAGGGAGCAAATCTCATTATTAGGAGCTGACAATGTTTATAATTCAGATCAGTCTGGTTTTAATTATGAATCACATGCAGGACGAACATTATCTTTCAAAGGAACAGCACAAGTTGAATGTTTAACACAATCGAAGAATTCATTAACACATAGCTATACCATACAACCGATTGTATCAGCTAGTGGATTACTCAAGTCGCCTTTATTTATTGTTTTACAAGAAACGGGTGGGCAGTTTGGACCTGTTGTTGAAATGAACATATATAAAGCAGAAAATATTGTCGTAGTACCTTCAAAATCTGGGAAATTATCATCTGACCTGGCAGTTCAATGGTACAAAGATATTTACTTATCTGTGGTTGATAAACAATCGGTTTTATGTTTAGATTCGTGGACAGGACAAACAAAGAAAAATTTTGACAACGTTTGTCTAGAAGGCAAAGATGTCAATATTTTTACAATTCCTGCTGGGACAACTGGTATGATTCAACCCCTAGATGTTTATGGATTCAGACCATGGAAAAATTTTTTAAAACATTTTTCAGATCTGGTAATTTTGTATGGCTTTGATGTCAATTTACATGCAAGAAACAATGTATTAAAACTTCAGTCGCTGATTCATAATCAGTTTTCTTCAGCCAGGTTTGTAAACATGTTTAAATATGCATGGTATAAAAGTGGGTATATTCAAGAAAAACCACCTAAATGCAAGACTCCTGTCCGATACTGTTTTGAAAATTGTGATACATCTTGCAAGTATTGTGAAGATAATGCTTTAATTAGGTGCGCTTGGTGTACACATTATATATGTTTTACTCATTTTTTTGATCCCAGCAATCAAAGCGTCCCTCATTATTGTAAAGACTATAAAGAATAGCCATTAATTCATATTACTAAAGTTAGTTATAATGTAACGTTTAATTAATTTAATTTTTTTTAATTGTTAAAATACAAATATAAAAATTAAAAAACAACATACAAATAAAAACACAAAAAAATTACAAAACAATAAACAAATAAAAAAAACAAAAAACCAAAAAAACCAAAAAAATAAAATAAAATGGGATCCACGCGGCCACGTCCCCGTCGTGATCCTGGGTAATGCTAAGAGCCGCGATCCTGGTTTCTTACTCTTATTAAGGGTAGGTTTTTCCTCACCCCTTATAGAATTGAAGGGTTGATCAGACTATAATTTGTAAATATTAATTAATTTGACGATAAATGAAACTGTTTACCATTATTTCGGAATAAATTTAAATGTTACGTAAGAAATTCGATAAAAGGGTGGTCACTCTTAAATCCTCAAACAGTCTCACTTTTGTTTTGGATGCGAGTGTAACATATATTTTTTTCAAAATTTTTGAATAAAATTTGCAATTATCTGGGCATTTTTAAAATTTTTGTTTCAAATACAGGGGGTGGTTTACCCCCTAAAAATGATCGAACCGAGTCGAAAATTTTCCATTTTTCATATCTCTTGATGATGCAACTATTTTATTTGGTTCGGGCCGAAAATACTAAATCCTTATATACAAAACAATTAAATCGATACCCATAAATTTAAAGGGGTGTAAAGGGGTGTAAATATGGTTTTCCGCCGATAAAAAAAAATACGTATGTCTTATTTTTACGTCTACTACAACATATTTAAAAATTATCAAAATCGGTGATTTACATTTGGGTAGTGTTACTTGTAAGTGTATCTAGTGTTTTTTTCGGCTCGGGAGCCGGGAGCCCGGTAACATTACATCACTGGTATACATATATTTCATTAAAAAAAAAAACAATCACGTGATCATAAAACTTTTCAGATGTAAGGCTGATGGCAGAGACCGAGACGTAAGAACTTATGTATGTCGTAGTCGTTTCCACACGTATCCACACAATAACCTTTCATGACTTACGTTTTTCTCTGCCTTACCATACGTCCACGACAGACGTCTACGACAGACATAAGTGCTTACTTCTCGTTCTCTGCCATCGGCCTAACTAATATTCCGTAATGGATTCCACGACGCGACGTAAAACTTTAGCGAGCTCAGTTGAGACTGTTCCGACTGCTTAGCGCCATTGCTTCGCGAAAGATCTAGTGCGCGCGATACACGCCGCGAGTAGCGAGGGCGCAGTAGCAGTGTAACAAATGAATGCGGCGAACAGTTGATCAACCGTTTAGTGAGTGATGACGAAATTGTTGCAGAGCGTTGCGATTTATGTAAATATAACAAGAAGTTTTGTAGATCTAACAAGAAAACACTTATTCAAATCCTTATAGTAAAATTAACCAAACGGTGTTGATATAAGGTGTAAAATTTTGTGACGATAACCAGAAATTCTGTTTCGTTTGACTAAAATACGGTCAACCAGAAGAATTTTGTTAACATAATAAAACCATTTTTCTCAGTGTGCAATGCTATCAAGAGTAATGAGAAATACAAGGTGTCCCATTTTAAACGATCCACTCAAATATCTCAGAAACACCGAGTTAAATAAAAAATTTTTCAAATAAAAGTTGTAGGGTTTGGAGAGGGAAAAAATATAGGGATATTAGTTTGACCTTGGATGGAGGCGCTTCTGAGATTTAAAGGTCATCTTTATTTTTTCAATTGGAAGGACACTAATTTTTTTATATAAATCGATTTCTTGTAATATTTGTCGTAAAAAATTACAAGACTAGGATGGCCAAAAATTGAATGGTTTACAAGATATTTTATATTTTAATTTGACATAATTTTACATAAATTATGAAATATCTCGTTAAATATTCATTTTTCAATTATCTTACTTCAACATTTTTATGCACAAAATAATGAGAGGAATCAATTGGTATAAAAAAATACATAGCTTCGGGAGTTTACAAAGGAATAAACAAACTCGGCTGTAAATGTCACATGTGCAAATAGCGGGCTTCATGTAACGTTTGGGCGAGATCACAACTCCAGTGGAAAAATAGTTATAGTCCACTTGTGGCTCGGGAAAATGTAAACAAGATCATTATATAAATTTTTCAGACAAACTTGTGCGTATATTTGGCTTTGACACTCAGATAGATCGCATCCGAATCTTATAAGAAAATCTCTCTTTCCTCTCGAGGATATCTCTTCCGAATGGTACAAAGAAAACTTTCCTACTTTCCTATTTTATCATATTGATCACGCGGTACCGCTCGTGTCTAATCTTCCCAGCTTGTCTCGTGGTATCCCCGACAAGCTCTTCGTTTATTGCGACGTTTGTGAACCATATATAACAGGCAATTACAAACACCTCTTCTTCGAATAGTACCAGTCGTCTCGAGTGATCACGATTACGGATCCTATCAAGTGGTTCATTTTTCACCCGGACATTATATTCCATTGCGACGGATCAATTTCGAGACAATTGAAATCGATGTAAGAGATCAACTGGGAAAAGGTATTCCATTCGAAGTCGGGACGTTGACGATAACGTTGCATTTTAGACGATATGATTAGCCGAAATACAAAGCTCCGTGGGAGGGGGTGAGGAGGCTAAAGCTGGCTACAAAATGGCGGAATATTATGAAGCGCTGAATGATAGCGTGCGAGACAGAGGAAACGTTTCCATCGGATCGCTTTATCAATGAGGACACGGTAGTGTCCTCATCGGTAGTTTTCTCGGGAGGATGTTTAGACGCGTGCTTCCGTATTTAGTTAAAAGAGCGCGGGCGGTTGGTAAAGAAGTTTTACGCGCAGGAGTAAATATAATCGAAGATATCGAAAATAATAATACATCGTTAAAAGATGCGTTTAAAAACCGTGTCGTCGAATCACGTGAGAATCTGAAAAGAAAAGCCAAAAAAAAGGTAGTCTCTTTGATAAGGCTTTGTCAGTTTCCTTTTAACACGCTTAGCACGGACATCGCCAACTCATCGTCGCGCAAACAAGGTTGTGGTAAGAAGAAGAAAAAGTCATTTAAAAACCACTGTACGGAGAACGAGTAAGACAAAGAAAGTCGGTAAAGAAAAAAATCAGTTCGGATGGTGAAAAAAAAACGCAAGTCTGTGAAACGTTGTAAGATCGGGAGAAAAAATCGTACTGTATCCGACATATTTTTCTAACAACTTCAAAAATTACCGTGAACAGTGATTACTCGCGATAATCATGGCCTTTCTCCACACACTTCAGCGAATGTTTAAAGAGCGAGCTCGATCTTTTTTCTTTATCACCCACGCAGACCAGTATCGAAAACTCGCAATGGATTCAATACAAGCCTGTATCCACGCTCACGGACGATACTTCCATAGAATTTGTCGTGCCGGGTCATGGGGAGGAATATTTAGACCTTGCTCATACTATGATGTGCGTAAACGTGAGCACAATAGGTATCAATGGAAATGGCGCTACACCTGAAGAAAAACGTAAGATTGGCGTTGTAAATCATTTACTGCACTCCACGTTCAATCAGGTGGATGTACACTTTAATCAAAAACTTGTGTCGCCTCCGAATAATGCATACGCATATCGCGTACATCGAGGCTTTATTAAATTACTCTTCGCGCGCGAAAACTACTTATCTTACCGCATGTCTGTGGGATACAGATACGCCGGGAATTATGGAAAGTTTGATAGAAACGCGACTGGGTAATAACGGATTCATAAGACGATTCGCTTCTCTCCGCGACGGAAAAATGTTAGATCTCATGAGACATCTTCATTGCGACGTCTTTAATCAAGACAAATTTTTAATCAACGAGGTAGAAATGCGAATACGACTCGTTCGTTCAAAAAATTCTTGCTGCCTTATAGAACGCGACGCCACAGTTTCAAAATTACGCATTTGTGATGCCACGCTGCTTGTGAGAAGAGTAAAAATGAGCTCCGGTATGCTATTCGCACACGCAAAAATGTTAAGTAAAACCATCGCTAAATATCCACTCACAAGAGTCAAGGTTAAAACATTTACAATTCACAGCGGAGTCATGACAGAATCGATAGATAATGTAATACTCGGACAATTACCAAAACGCATAATAGTGGGGTTTGTAGATAATGTGGCGTTCAACGAACATAAAAAATTTAATCCCTTTAACTTTCAACATTATAAAATAAATTTCTTTTCTTTCAATCAAGATGGGATGCAAATCCCGAGTAGACCGTTATAACCTCGTTTCTCGGAAAACCGCTTTATGTTGAAGCTTATCAAACTCTTTTTTCGGGTACGGGCATACATTTTCTAAACGAAGGAAACGCCATTAGTAGAGATGATTACGCTCGCGGATACACGATTTTCGCCTTTGATCTCACATCCGATCTTTCCGCCAATTGCGTCGAACATTGGAATCTCGTGAAACACGGGAGTTTACGTGTGGAAATAGGATTCGAGAAAGCCCTCACTAAGACTATCAACGCAATTGTTTATGCGGAATTTGATAATATGATAACAATTGACTCTTCGTGTCAAGTCATAGTCGATTTTGCTGGTTAGGTCCTTCATTTCTATCATTTTCACCCCACTTTCTCTCGTTTCCCTCTCTCTTCTCTTATCTATCCGTGAAAAAAAGTCGGTGTTGCGTAGCAAGAGAAAAATTCAGTCAGTCGCACGTTAGACTTTGCTTCGTTCACACTTGAAGAATCCAACTCCTCAAGTTTTACACCATGGATATAATCATCGTAATGCAAGGTTTTCGCGACGTATACGGAAAGTTTTTACTAAAAGAAGCTGCCGTTGTCGCGATTAATAATTCAATAGTTATTGGATTATGTCACCACCGCATTCGTTCGATAAATTGCCAGAAATATCAAAACGAGAGAACGTCTGGCTTTCGCATAACTATCACGGAATCGAATGGTTCGACGGAGAACCCAACCTGAAATACTTTGTTACATCTGCGAGAAATCTTAAGATACGTTCGTCACATCTATACCAGAGGTAACAAAAAAGCGCGCTACCTTCAGAAGCTTCTATCCAGAAACATATATAATCTAGAGGACATTTCCGGATTCATTCAATAAACTTCCGGAAGAAGGAGAAATTTGTAGCTACCACGGAATTCGAAAATCCGTCAATTATCGTTGCGCACTACGTAATTCTCACAAACTACAGCGCTGGATATTGTTGACAAAATCTTGCGTTGACAGTGGGTATTCTCAATTTTCTTGGGAAAATTGTGAATCGAATAACTACGAATCCGTGGCCGTAACTAACGCTGAAATTTACTCACACGAAAGAGAAAATAATTTCGACACATTTAATCTCTCATGGGTGGATGAAGCAAAGCGGACAATCCCTGGTGAAAAAAAAAGAAGAAGAACGTTCAAATATCGAATCGAAGACGATGAACGACTTAGGTAACGCTACAGTTACTCGCCCAGTCACATCTGATGACAAGCTAACAAAAGAGATAATACCAGACTTTTTTTTACAGTAACAATACAACGTATTCGAGCAACTCGAGAAAAAAAACTCGATTGAAATTTTACAAATGCTGAAACATATCAACATCAACCATGTTGGTGTTTATGCAGCAGACAGACTCCCGAGGGTGTGGACGAGGTCGGCAGCCAATACCGTCGCTAATACAGACGAGTATGATCGTCCCGGCAAACATTGGATCGCCTTTTATATCGACGAACACGGCAGTGGAACATATTTCGACAGCTACGGAATACCGCCACACTCAGATCGGCGATTTCTCGTACGACTTTGACGAAACTCCAACATATATTGTTATAACACCGAACAACTACAAGGATTCTTTTCGCAAACATGTGGTCAATATTATTGCGTTTTTCTTTATTATTTTTCTTTTGGTTACGACCTTGAGCAATTTCTTCGTCTTTTCTCCGATGATTATAATCAAAACGATAGATTGATTGTGCGTTTATAGCGCAAAATTTTTCCCCACAAAAAGAATAAGCGAGCGAAACATTGTACTATTCATTGTAACGTTCAATCATGTACTTTTAAGAAAAATTGCTGCAAATAAACATATCATTCTTGTATTCTAATCCAAGTGTTCGATTCTTCTTGCTTTCTTTCCCTCTCACAACCCATACATGTAATCTGCGAAACCGACTCACTTCGTCTGTGACGTCAGACGAAGCGAGCTGCCAGTGCGTTCGGGGGGCCCCGTGAATACGGCCCTAAGCCTTCTCTACAGAATAGAAATTTTCGTGACACATAACCCGTAAGTGTATACGGTCCCATGAATACGTTCCTTCCCTGCAGACTAGAGGCGTCTGTGACGTCATTTGTTTTGATGCTCCATACCTGCCAGGCTTCAGCCATAAATACGACCCTACGCCTTACTTCACTAAATCTATAGGTAGCTCAGCAGACTAGGACCAGGACTAGAAATCCAGCGATCCAGGTTCGATCCTTTTGGTCAATTTTCTCAATTCGAAAAAAAAAAATTTACGTCATCTTGTGTCCGTCATCTTGCCGACACCCGCCATCTTGTGTTCGCCGACCTAGTGACACTTCCACCATCTTTTTCCCCATCCCCACCAGTCTCTGACGTCATTTGTTTTCACGCCTCATCCCCACCATTACCACCCTGTGACGTCATTTGTTTTGACGTCCCATACCTGCCATATACTACTAACATATTATATATGAACAACTGCTCATAGATGTTTTAGAATAAGCACTAGAAATCGATACATAGAAATAAGGCTTGAGTAATATAAGTACACTAAATAAGCATAATATAGTTATCAAATAAACATACAATTAATTCAAGTAAACATAACTTTTCATATTTATTTGATGCCACACATCCGCAAAACACTTATTTCGTTTTTTTCTTTTGTGAATATATTTAAAGCGGTCGAATATAAAAAAAAAAATATATATATATATTTTTTAGAAATTGATGCCAATGATGAATCCACTGAGGTTCATGATGCTTTACTGTGGCTAATGAACAGTTCTCAACCTTGGTCGAAAGTGCTTGAATATTGGCAAGTGACTTCAAGTCTGCGGTGGTTAGAATTAGTGAGAGGAAACCTGTCTGTAGGAGAGTATCCAGCTCTGGATAATGAAAAAGGGTACTTACTGATAAGCAAACACTGCATCAGATTTGCTAACATTCTGTTAACACTTTTTTCTGTTAACACTTTGGTTTGCAATACCTAGAACATAAGTATAAAAGTTATAAGAATTTTTATTTTTCGGGAAGTTTTGCCCCAATTCCAATACCAAGTGAACTTAGGAACTTGGTATTAGAATTTGATATTGAGATCATTATCATTATTTTTTTGTAGATCTTTTCTATATTTAAATTTTTTGTGTAGCTTAAGTTTGATTTTGAGAGAGGATATACTGACAAATTTATGAAATTGTTTGTAAACTAGCCGAAACTGTCAGATTTCTTATTTGGAAAACTATCTCCAAAATTAAAGGATTTCTGCAATGATGAAGTTTCTGATGGTAAAAAAAATTGTCAGAAATTAATTTAAAAATGTTCCTCTCAAGACACTATTTACTTTTTTTCGGACCTTAAGGCACTTCAAATGTTGAATGGACTTTCTAATTTGTTTGCTTCTATTCATGCGAGGAAATAAACAAAACAAATAAAAGAGTGGCGTCCGTCTAACAATAAGTGTAGATGAACTTCATGATCTAAGAGAAGGCCTTTGTAATATTGTTATGATCCATGTTATCACTAATCTTATAAATAGCAAGTATTTTAGTTTGAAAAATTTGAATAACAGGTTGCTGATGTTTGATTACGGTTCAAAACATTCCATAAATAAACCTCCTTGTATAACAACTAATAGCAGTGATGGGCGATTTTCAAAAATAACTCGATGTTTTAAATATAGAAAAAGAAGAAAACGAGTAAAAGAAAAAAATCATAAAAGTGTCGATTATATTACTAAAAAGAAATCGAAAAATCGATTAATCGTTTTATTTTCCTTTTAATTCTGTTCGGAAGCGCGACGAAAGTAAGGTGCACGGAAGAACAAAAAAAGAAGACGACGTGATTTCTACGAACTAGGTTCTTTATTAATCTAAATTACGGCGTGTACCCAGGGCCGCGCCAAGGGTATTTGCCGCCCGGGTGCGAATTCTACACTGCCGCCCTTTTTTATTATATATTTGTCATATTAAATATCAAATTAATGAGCGATTACTATATAATCTATTAAAGTTACAGGTAAATCATATGCAAAACAAGAGGAAAAAAAATTCGAAATATAAATATTATGATAATATTTTTCATCTATCCAGGTAAGTATTAAAATGACTTTTAGATTTTCCTGTAACTTTTACAGATTGCATAAAATTCTAGCATAAAGATGTATATACAGAATCGCGCCAACCCGAGTGGCATAATGAAGGGAGTATAAATTTGTAAAATAAAATTGCCAAATTAAAAACAAATATTAAAATATATATTAATATATATTTAGTTTATCTTATTTATGAATTCTATATTAAAAATGCTTACGTCGTAATACACTATGCCGCAATCGCGCTCAATTTCTTCGATACGGCAATAAGCAAGATATGAACGTTTTGAATTTTTAATAACCATTTCGTGTTAACATATAATCTATATAAATTTAACTTTACGTGCTTTTTTGTTGCGAATTCATTTATTATATTACTTATATCTAGTTCAGTTGCTGTCTTATTTTCAATACTAATAATACTTAAATTGGACAATCTTTCCTGTGTCATAGTCGATCTTAAATGATTTTTTATTATTTTTTAGTTTAGAGAAAGATCTTTCTCCCGTAGCCACTGTTACAGGTATTGTTAAAAATATGCGCAAAGCTACTGCAAGATTTGGAAATATACTAATAAGACCATTAGCAAAAATATATTCTAAAACAGCTAATGGATTCATCTGAGGTTTTAAATAAATCAAAATATTTTCTATTTCTTGACACAATTCAAGTGCATCTATGTCAGCTTCTTTTCGTAAATCATCTGATAATTTAATTTGCAAGTCTATGCAATATTTTAATTTCATCTCTTTACTCATTGATTTTAATAGATAAATATCGTTCAAAAACTGAAAAGTATTATTATGGTCATTTAAAAGTTCAAAACGCTCATCTATTTTGCTTATTGTTATATCTAAGATAACAAAATAAAAATTAATCTTAAACGAATTTTCCGGAGAGTCAATTATTTCATCCATAGCTTCGTACATAAAAAGTTTTTTTTTCTTACGTGGTCTAATTACACTAGAAACAAGAAATTCATTTTCACACTCCATGTCTTGTGCAATTTGTTTTGCATTTTCTAATATATCT